AAAGGAAAAGAAACATACCACACTTCGTTTGCCATTCCGGCAGGAAAAATCGGGAACCGCCTTTAAAACCTGAAGCAACTTTTGGAGGTCTAAGAAGTCACAGAGCCCAAACATCAAGCACCATGCGAACAAAAGATGAATGTTTAACGTCAAAAAAGAATTATAAGTAAGTGGTAGCGATAATACAGGGTGTAGAATGTAGAATGTTGTAGAATGTTTAGGAGGGCAGTTAATCACTGCGACTTACAGATCTATTTATGTGTCCCCCTTTCTTGAGTTATAAACGAGTTATAACTCATTCATACGAGTCTCAGTCTTTTACAAAAGCCAGTATCTGAGACGGCCTCCACAGAGGCCAGCTCACCATCCTCGACATCAAGCCGTGCCAAGTCATGGCACAAATGGTCGTCGTCTCGGCGAACTCAGTGATAAGGTGTTCTGGGTGTTTTCCCATTTTCGCCAAAGAATCTGCATTCGACTTTGTTTCTCAACCTCCAGCCTTACTGAAGGGTTCGTTGAGGAGACAGTATCCGTTGAGGAGACCCGTGACAATCCGAAATTGTTTTTACTTAAATCAATGGAAATCTATGATTTTTTTCTCCTCGGTCCGTTAAAAGTGTCTCAGGAACCTTGTTTTAATAAGTGTCTTAGTCCGGTTGGAGGACACCCATTTCAGGTTACGTATTGAGTCTTCCAGGTTCTTCATTTCTTCTTTAAGTTGGTTTCAACATTGGGAAGCAATTTTGGTCGGTTCTGGTCCAGTTAGTTGGAGTGTTGCTCCTTTTCTATGCTAGATTATTGGCTTTTTCATTGCCTTCAACCTTGGTGAGCAGAGCACGCTAGAGTGAGGACTTTATTTCTTTACTAATTTGTTGACATTCTCTAGCCTTCTTTGACAAACTTCGGATTGATGGTTACCTTACTGAGTTGGTCGCGTTTAGTGCTGTTTGACTATCGGATAGGATGGCCATTACCTGTTTTCGATAGTTCCTATCGTTAGATAAATTGTACGCATCATTTCTGAGCGAAAAGATCCTGGGTAAGAAGCCTATTTGGTTCGGAGTATTTTATATATTTCTTGACCCAAATACTCATAAGCCTGTCCCTGCTTTTGCTTTGGCATCAGTATACCAAGTTAATGTACGGTCTTTGACAATGGCTGGAGTCAAGCGTTGCTATCCTTCCAAATCCTTTTTATTACTCAGTTACGTTACATAAGGGTGTTTCTGTCTCAAAAGTTGTAAATGCTTGTGGGGAGGTTGGAGAAGTAGATTACAGGGTTAATAATACAGGGTAATTGCAAGTGGGCACGGGGCCTCCGAGTGAGACATCAAGCAACCTACTTGCCTTACCTACTTACCTACTACCTATGTACAAATATCTACAATTATAAAATGTACTATGATTAACATAATAACATAAGATCTTTTTGCACAGTTATAATAATGGTATGTGACTAGGGAACGCTTAATTCGAAAACTGATTGTTAATCAGAATAGATAACAGATTTACAATTTAGCTTGTTCTGATTAAAGAGGTTGCATTACAATTTTCTGGAAAACATTTATTGGATATACTTACATTACTCGGCCCTAACAGCGGCGTTTCCGAACTTATAGACCCGTCTTGCAATATCTGATCGTCCCGTATAGGTCTAGTCATATACGCCGGCATATGTGGATGGTGCAACGTCTGAAAACCGCCAGGATGCGGCATTCCTTGCGGACCGATCCTCTTCATATCGAGCTGCGCGTATACCGTCGGCTCCTGTCTTCGGATGACGTTCATAGCGACGGATGGCGGATGCTGGCTGTAAATGACGTGGGGCGGCTGCATCTGTTGGTTCGTTATAGACAGTTCAGCGTATGTTATTTCGGCAGGGCTCTGGAAAGGAGTTAGTAGTGTGTTCTAATGTTAGTAGGTTAGACGGTCAGATAGAGTTTGTTAATAGACTAACTACTATAAAATAACTGCCACTAATATAAAAATTACATTCATGCATCTTAGTAGGACAAATAACTAGAATAAAAGAGTTAGAGCATCGGATTTGCATGGTTGTAACAACTTGGGATCTACTTGTACACTGACGAAGGGATTTGGTATACTAGGTAGTGTTATTGTTTCATTTTAATCATCATCTGATGAAAATGCTGTTATGGACACATAATCACTCAGGTATAAAGGGTGTCCCAGACTGAGCGTGAATTAGAAGTCCCTAGAGAACTACAATATCCAGATCGGAGATTTTCTGCACATCTATCGATTAAAAATATTTTCAATATGGCGGCACTTCCGGAAATACCGGAAATCGACAGTAACATTCTTATTTTAAATGAGTAGGTACCCCCATTTTTTATTTCATATTTAAATTCTCTATCAAATTTAATAAACTTTTCTGTCTGACAATCTGTCAACAATTCTGTCAACACTCTATACCTAACATTAACTGTTTTTGAGAATAAAAATATTTAAAATTTTTGGAGCAAAAAAAACTGCCTGTCAAAAAAAATGTATGGCCTAAACGACAAATTTAATTATTTACCGATTACCACAGCCACTGTAATATAAAGAGGTGACATGTGGCTATTTATTTCAAAAATTAAATTGCTTAAGTGTAATATAGTATTGGTCGTAGCTGTCATGGAATCGAGAGATTAATAAATTATCATATTATAGTAAAGGCCACGAATGTTTGGGAGTGATTTATCGCTTGATGAAGTTAGAATCGACACGCGCGCTATCATTTTTACATTAAAAACGTAAATTTTTACCGCAGACGTAGGTTTTTAAATGCCCGGTCTAATCATCTGCCTGCGCTCCTCCTACTTATTCTAAAATGTTAGCGTGATTGACAAAGACGATACTATATCGCGTTTCTTTGATTGATTCGTTTTTGTGCGTCAGTCCATTGGTGTGCTTGCAGTGCGACCACTGGGGCATTCCATTTTATATTTATAACCAAATATATGTTTTGACAAGACTTTGACAGTTAAAACAACAAATTACAACAGATTATGTATTGATTATTATATGATTTGAAACACCACGGCACTGGAATTAAGTTTTATGTGACCTTGAACAGATTAGTTCACATGGTAGCGACCGATGAATCACTCCCAAACATTCGTGGCGTTTACAATATCATAAATCATTTTTTTTAAATGAAAACCCACGTATTTTTATTTCACTAGTGAAAAGGTTTTTTATTCGGTACTTTTTGATTCTAAAGGTTCCTTTACCTAAAATAAATGTTTTTTAAGTTATTTAATAGGTATTTAGTTTTAAAGCGTATATTTTACTGGGTTTTTTTCTGGTTTTTAACCAGAAAAATAGCCTAACGTTAAACGTCAAGCGATGTAAAACTTTATCTGGCCATATCATATTGCCATTAGATATCACTAAAATACGAGATATATTTTTATAAATACACTTTATAAAGTTTTAGCAGCAGTAGGTATTTATAATAAACAAAATTCAAATAATTAGTTTTTTGACAGAAGGAAATAGAATGTCCGATGGTTTGACACTTAATGTCAAAGAAAGCTAGATAAAATCAAGAAAAATTTACGCTTTAAAACTAAATCTTAAATGATTTAAAAACGATTTATTTTAGGTATAAGCACGTGGATAATCAAAAAGTAACGAATTGAAAAACCTTTTTAGTAGTGAAATAAAAAAAGTGGTCCTTTAATTCTCTTAATTCCATGCCTGCTTCGGGCAGTATTATATGATATTCAAACAATTTATTTTTTGGAATAGGGAGCGTCTTCTCTTTATGTCACAGTGGCTGTGGTAATCACTAAATTTTACGTTTAGGCTATTCGGGTATTTCCGGAGGAGCCACCATATTTAAAATATTTTTAATCGATAGATCTCATTGTGAAACAATGATGTGCAAAAAATCTTCGATCTTGATCTTATAGTTCTCTACAAACATCTAATGCACGCTCAGCCTGAGACATCCTGTATATGTATAACTAAATATATTTTTGAGCGTGTTGCATATTTTCTACTTCATATATCGTCCAGGGTAAAAATTAAGATTGATTTCATGGCGTCCATTATTCGACGTTACGCATACGATGATGCTTATTGTTTGAATTTAAAGCATTCGATTTGTTAGGAGTTACAATAATCACATAAGCATATTTTTAATTTAACGGTTAGTATAGAAAATAAATTAAAGAAAATATCATGGAATATTTATTAGTTAATCTAATACATATAATATAATATAATCTAATTAATATTAGAATCATTAAATGTACTTACGGATTTGCCGTAGCTACCGTTTTTGGTTTGGCTATTTGGGCTTTGCATTCTACTATAGATTCTCATAGAAGGGGTGTTGTTCAGTCTCTCAAAAGCTCTTTCTTCATCTTGATATTCGTCATCGGCATTATTCTGAGGTATTATATCCGGATTTTTCTCTTCCAGGCTGTCTACACTGTCATTCATATCTTTGTTTAAAGGCTCTGTGCTTGCCTAAAAAAATATTTAATAAAAATTTCTATTTTATTAAAAAATAATTTTTCAAGAGGTATAAGAAACCTAAATAATAAAATTCATTATAATCAATAAACATATTATGTTTTTATTGGTAGACTTTCTGTTTTCTTTCAGTATTGCAAGTTGGTGTAACAATAATTGGGGAAGAACAAAAAAAAATCAAATAAAAAGAAAATTCTGGAAAATGCGTCTTACAAAAAATGTATTTTTTATAAATTTGCAATAACCATATTTTAAATTCGGAATATTTCCTTTATAAAACTGCATATCGTTTTAAAGACAACAATATATAAAATATACAAAACACAGTTACTGGTAAATAGACGATGATAAGACCCATGTTTACTTGTGGAGCAGTTGTTTAGTACACAAAACTAAAGCAACGTACAGCAAGGCAAAACCTGTGCAAAGTGCAGAGACTGGCATGCATCTGCATCACATGAGTCAAGAGAACCTGCCCAACACATCAGCAATAGATGTTATTCTAGACCGAATAATACTGCACACTGTTATATGCCGCTGTGACAATGATGACCATTTACAGCAACAGTACTGGGAGAATTGCTAGATTTTAGCTTGGAACACCTTCAAAAGGAAAATTCCACTCCTCCAGCTTCCAGTGGATGACATGCAAAGAATGGACAACTTTATGTACCTTAGTATTGAGCTACAAAAAAACTCAGAAGTTAAAAGGCTATACCATAAAATGGGATAGTGATGCTTACAAATCCAAAGCAGGAACAGGAATATTTGGGTCAACAAATAAATACTCCGAACCAATGGGCATCTGCCCCAGCATCCGTCAGGCAGAAATCTACGCTATTGAAAGATGACTACAACTTACCGTAGATGGGAACTATGGGAAACAAGAAATAACCATCTTCTCCGATAGTCAAGCAGCATTAAGAACGATCAACTCAGTTATGACCAATTCGAAGTTGATCAAAGCCTAGAGAGCTGAAAAAAATAGGCAAAGAAAATAAAGTTCTCCTACTGTAGGTGCCAAGTGGAAACCAACTTAAAGCAGGACTGGAGAACCTGGAAGAATCGATCCGTAACCTGAAATGGGAGTTTCCCAACGGTCTGAGACACTCGAAGAAATTTCTCAGGACTTACGACCGGGAAAAATCATAGCTTTTTCTTGATTTAAGTAAGAACAGTCTTCGGATTGTTACGGGGCTTTTAACAGGACATATTCATTGCACACTTCAGTAGATTGAAGCTAAGAAAATAATAAACTTTGGTACGACTGATATGGAAATTGGGGAACTAACCTCTATAAAACCGTATCAGATACTGGGCTGGGACTGTATGAGGACTCAAAAAGACAAACACAATAGGTGATATAAGGTTGCGGTGATTAACTTCCCCCTCCCATACAATCTGCAATCTAGTGGGAAATAACTCTATTAAGTAAAATGCTATTGAAAAATAACTCTATTTTATGAGTCAATTTTCTACCAAGATGCTTTAAAATTAATATAGAAAACAGATATATATTTTTGCTGGATTTATTCTTATTTTTGAAGATATTCTGCTATGTATATATTTCGAATAACCTAAATCAGTCAATGCTTGATAATTTATTGGGTGGAATCTATTACAAAACACTTTTAATAAAAATAACGTAAATTTAAGAAGTATTTTAGTCACACCTGAATTAAAATATAAAAGTGAATTTATAATTACCTTATCACTATTATTTCCCGCTACGCATCTTCTTCCAGCAGACGATAAGCCTCCATCATCGTAATCTTTGTCGTCCCTCTCCCCGCCTCCCCTTAATCTAATAACTACCACGATTATAATCGCCAGCAGTATTAGGGCGCCTACTACGCCTATTAGGGCTCCTAGAAGAGGAGTGATCTGTAGCAGGACCGGAGTTGTGGCTAAAAATAAATAAAACAATTAAATTAAATATTTACATTTTTATATAGCATGTTTTTAGTTTTTAGTTTTTACTACTATTTAGCATATTGTTAATGCTTAGTTTTACAGTCAATTAATATATCTATTTTAAGCTAGTTGCGTTGCTACTTGATTATTTTTTTAGAAATTTGGATGCAAGATAAAGAAAGTATTTCTATGTATATTATTAGTATTTTACATATATAATATATAAAATTATAAGTGTGACCAGTACCGACCGTATGATCGAAAAAGATATCTAGACGTCATTTACTAAAAATTGACATAAAACTTGTCAAAAATTAACACTAATTATAGAAAATGATATCATATGCGGAAATGCGTTGGTACACGGACGGATCCGAAGACAAAAAAGACCTGGCGCAAGAATTTACTGCAGCAGTCCAAAGACTGAGATCTACCACAGTCTTGGAAAACACACTGCAATTTTCCTAGCTATATGCTATTGAAACCTGTGTGCATCTACTGCTAGAACGGAAATACACTTGGAAAACAATAAGCATATTTTCGAATAGTCAAGCTGCGTTGAAAGCACTTGAGGCAACGAAAAGCACGTCTATGACGGTTCGACATTGTAGGAAACTACTCAATTTCTTAGAAGATAGGAACGAATTTAGAAGTGTCGCTAATATGGATACCGAGACATGTCGGCCTAGAGAGAAACGGACGTGCTGATTCCCCCACAAAAACAGGTGCAAGTTTGCCATTCGTGGGCCCAGAACCGACACTTAACGTTCCAAAAAACCTTGCAAGAGACTGGCTCTGTGAATGGATTAGAGGTGCAACGTTTCGGGACTGGAATGACAGTCCAGGAATGGAACATGCCAAAAAAATCCTAGCAGGGCCATCCAAACACAGAACAGGAAAACTCTTAGAGGCCGGCAGAAATGGAGCGCGTACGCTCACTGCAGTAGGTATACACGGGCCACTGCCGGCTGAGATCACAGCGACAGAGAATGTGACTGGTGGAAGACGCCGAATGCCGACTCTGTATTGAAGATGACGAAACAATGAAGCACGTTATGTGTACCTGTCTCGCTGGGAGCAGGACCAGGTTTGAGGTGTTTGGCAAAATCATGCTAGACCTGAGAGACATTTCACCCTCGGATATAACAGCCTACTATGTTAAAAGGTTGGGATTTGAGGGTGAACTTTAACAATCTTTTCTTCGCATAAAGAGTTTGTAGTACTGAGCCACAATAGGGCTATCGCGGCCGTAGTGGAGGGTTCCACTTGGAACTCACTCTTAGTAAATACAGTAAAATAAAATTGATAAAAAAACTTTCATTTCACTTCACTTTGATGCCAGCTAATTATTACACAAAACCTGAGTTTAAAGAGTAAGACCACTCATACCAGAATATACAAAAATACAATCTACCAAATTAGTTATTTTTATAACAAATTAAGGGTTATTAGTTAAGATTAATACTAAAACATGGCGAATTTTTAAGGACAAAAAATTAGACATCGAGAAACTGATAAATAAAACCAAAAATCACAACATTTATTATTATAACTAGTCAATTTTCCTTTTAATTACCGGGGTATAGATTGTTAGGATAATTAAATTATGACGAGAAATCGAAAAATTTTCGTTTGATAAATTTTTTGTTTAGAATTAATTCTCTTTTAAAGATTATTATTGTCTAACTTATTTCAATTTTATGTAAATATTTTCTTAAATAAAGTATTAGTCTGAACTTCATTATACCGGGTGTTTTTCAAAATGGCTCACCCCTATAACTTCTGTATACATTCAGACAAAAAAACGAGATTTGGTATGTTAGTATATGACATAAATCATTGATTGATTGATGTATTCACTTATTTTCGGTTCACTTCCTGTTTCATCAGAAATTTGTGTGCGTTTATTTGATAGAAATCGACATTCTAGATAGAATAACATATGGTAATCGCAAAACAATTTCCGATGCACGTGATCAACTTTGAGTGACAAGCGATGGCGACAGCGCTGCCAGATTGTGATGGAATCATAATTTAAAATTGACAAACAACATATTTATTATATCATTTTTAAAAGAGTTTTACGTTTTATTTTTAATTTAATAACTAATATTTTAGTGATTAATTGGTTTATTTGTTTTATAGCTTATTTTACTCATTACATATTGGCATAAACTAGTCCATTATGAAGATTATTATAAGCGTTATTATGGGTTATTTATTTATTGATGTACAGGGTGGGTCAAATTCGACGCTTTTAAATGGAAACACCCTTTTCTATAGGAGATAGACAAAAACTAATATCGGTGTCTGGAGCTCAATTTTTGACAAAAACATGATGGTGAAAACCGCATATCGATATCTGTTACCGTTTTGGAGTTACGGGGTGTTTTTCATAAATATGCATTTTTAATAAATCGCTGTAACTTTTTTGCTATGGAAAATTTTGTATTTTTATGAAAATATTTCCAAAGTACCTTTTTACGTAAAATTTAATGGTTGAAGTATAATTTTTTTAAAATTCATAATTTAAGTATTATCAACAGAAAATTTGATTTTTTATATGGGACACCCTGTATATTTTTAGTTTATTGAAAAGAATTTAAAATTACCTTTCCAAAAATATAACACACTTGATATTTTGCTCGATTCCTCTTCGATATATAGAGTATATAAAAATTTGCCCGCTTTAAATAAGTAGGCTTTGAACGCAAGGGCGTAGATAAGGGGGGGTACTGGGGGACAGTACCCCCCCCCTGACGCTTGACGAGATACGAGAATTGAAATAGTCATTGACTACGAAAGGATTTTTTTTAATTAAAATCCGACATAAGAACACTGTATGCTTTTAATTATGTTGATTTATCGTTTATAATATGTTCGACTAATTAAAAGCACACAAAGTGTTCTTAATGGCCAGGACAGATTAGTGGGGTTAACTCTAATCAATATCCATAAAGATATTGAAATAAATGTTGATACTGTTATTGATAGGTTTTCGAAACAGCGTACTAGAAAACTTGATTTTGTTTTGTAGTTTTATTTATATAATTTTATAGTTTTTTTTGATAGTTTAGAGTTTTTATAGTTTATAGAAAATTAATTAATAAACGTCGTTGTTTCATTTTGTTTATGTTATTTACAAATCTATATTTTATTTTTGTATTTATGTTTTATATCTTTTTGAAGACAAAAAAATCGCCGTCGTTTTAATTCGACAAAAAAATTCCGACGGTGATTTTTTTTGCGACTTAATCATAGTACCACCCCCATAGCATACACCTATCTACGCCCCTGTTTGAACGGCACCGGCTATAATGCAAAAAATTCAAGCTGTGCGCATAAATTAAAATGATAATATTTGTTATGAGAGATGCAGAATTTTATAACAATTTAAAATATATTTAACCAACATCAACACACTTAAACTGTATCTAATAACAATAAAAATAAATAGTAGACATGAGATTTTTTTGCTATAGGTGTTCGACATATCGACCGTCTTCTGTTAGCAGACAGGGCAGTTTTGAACATTTCTCGCAGAATCATTAACTCAGTAGGGGTGAAAGATACCCTCTCATAACTGCTAAGTATTTCTAATTCTTGTCTAGATTATACGGAATAAGGAACCTTTATTCTTCCGCAAATATATCCATAGGATTAGATCCATGGGCACTAAGTCAGGCGGCCTCGACGGCCAACGGTTGGGACCTTGGTTAGCTACTCAATTATTCTTGAAATTGTTTGCAAAAATTTGCTGATAACTTCAGCGTTCAGAGGCGGTGAGTCGTCTTGCTGGAAAAATATGTTTTCGAGTTCGATTAAGGGGATATCATCAATAAGGGGTCCAAAGCCTACTAGTTAAAAGTGGAGAACTTTTAAAAATTCTGTATTTCGAAGGGGATTGTAACAAAATATCAAGTGTGATATATTTTGGAAAGGTAATTTTAAATTCTTTACAGTTAATTAAAAATATAGTTTTTAAAATTCGAGAAAAATCAATTTTTCTTGACAACTCTTAAATTATTAATTTAAAAAAAATTATACTTAAGCCATTAAATTCTATGTAAAAGGTGCTATGGAAATGTTTTCGCGAAATACAAAATTTTCATAGCAAAAAAGTTACAACGATTTATTAAAAAATACACGACACAAGCACGTAACTCAGAAATATTAAAAGATATGATGTGGGATTTTCTCATCATCATTTTCAGAAAATTGAGCTCAGGTACCGATATTAGTTACCTAGATCTATCTCCTATAAAGAATCCGTTAAAAACGTTGAACCCCTGAAGTAATCGGCTTGATAGAGTAAAGTCCATTATCTCATTTTGTTTCGAGGTTTACAAAAAAATGTTTAATATAAAAAGTTATAGGAAGGTTAAGATACGCATTTTTCAAATTGTTATTAGGTATACAGGGTGCTTCAAAAAGTGTGGCGGATATAATATATATTTTTTAAATGCAACACCCTATTTTTATTTTATTTTTTAGATTCTGGGTAAAATTCCATAACTTTTTTATATATAATGTTATATACTTAAAATTAATAGTTTTTGTAATATTTAAATTTGTTTAAACAAATGGTAAATTGCAGTGTGATAAAAAATTGTCAGTGGTACCATTGTTTCTGAAGTTGCAATACCAAAATTTGGTATAAGAGTTTTATAAAGATGAAAAAAAGAATATATGTAAAGATATTTTAGTTAAATGCTACAGGGTGTTCAAAATATATTTATGAATTACTAAAACTAACTAAACTACTTAAAATTAAAAAATCTCAAATTTTTCAAATAGTACACCCTATATATTTTCATTTTTTCTGATAGATTTTGCAAAGCTCTTCAACTTTTATTAAGTATGTCATATACCTATTCTTAATAGTTTGCGATTTATTCCAATTTTTTCTATTTTTATACTAATTTTTAATACAATTACGCTATAACATCATAGTTGCCGTGACAAAACGAAAGTATTTACTACTCATCTTTAA